GTTATCAAGTTTCATATACGATAAAAAGTCCCAAGAAAACAGCATGTTCTATTTGATCCAATTTGGAGGATTTCTGTTATTAAGCAATTTTATATCAATTTTTTGTCTTGATTCCTGCAAATGTATCTTCCACATATAGAAGCCACTTGCATTAGCTTAAAAAGCAAATTTCATCGGGGTACAAATTTAGAAGTATAGAGGTACAGTATTAGTAGATCTCTTTAGGGAATTACTTCTCCTCCCACCAAATTTAAAATATATGTACCTATTCTGGGGTTTATATGCTTTGAGACAAAGATTAATAAAGATTTCCAAACCAGAGAGATGTTGATCTCACCCTTGGAAAGCCTGCTTTGTTAAGAAGCACCCAGCAAAACTCCGTGCTCATTATCTTCCCAGACATCTTTACCACAGCGCTTCAGACTCCTGTAAGGAACCACCCACAAAACCAGTGTTGCCAAGTCTCCTGAAGGCCACCACTTTCCAGCTAACCTGGGTGAGTAGTGGTGAGCAGTATCAAAAACAGAAGATGGATGTTCAGAGCTGAGGACTCTCAGTTTCCTGGTTTCTACCCAAACCCTGTCTGCAAGCACTGTTTATAGCTGTTTGCAGTATTAAACTTCAGCTTGAGCAACGTACTTACATTTGTGTGCAATTCCCAAATTATACAGCAACAGGCAAAGGACTACTCATGAATTTGAAGCCATGTATAATATCGCTGAGTCAGGAGCTTCTTGAATTAAATCAAGATTTCCAGTATAATCACTTTGACTGCAGCATTGTTTCACCAGCAGTAGCAGCAGCAGCAATACACTACACACACTCCCTTCTTACTGGTCCTTCCCTCAGAGTAAATGGTTCCAAGTTCAGAATGACCTCACCAATTAAGAAGGTATGCTACTTAAAATGCTTACAGTGACTTGAACCTCAGGAAGTCCAAACACTGCAAAACCACCAAAACCAATCTCCATTTTATTCATGACAAAACACAATGGTTTGGCAAGACTAAATGACATGCTCAGGATGATACACTCTTAAGAGTGACTGGAGTGACAGCTGGTAACGTTTACTTTCAAATCACTGGTAAAAATTGAAGTATTGAAAATCTTAATAATTGTCCAAAACTAACCCACGGGCTTCACTGAGTTAGTAGTCATGACTTCTAAATTGAGCTTTACCATTTGTTCCATTTACCATCTCCTTTTCCTCTGCGCACTCTGTGAATTAGATTCCCATCAGGGAAAACAGGCCCAGAAATTTGACGCACTTGCCCAAGATGGCCCAGCCAGTACCCAGTCCCCTGCGGGTCAAAATACAGTTTTCAATGCAAGTCACATATTTTGGAATTAATATTAATGTACTGGCTACTAATAAAATCCAAAGTATTTGTAACTTGTGATAGTTGCTAATGAAGAAAGCAGGTGTTTCAGTTGCTGTTTCTTTTTAAACACAATCAAACCATACAAAACGATGAAATACAAGGACTTCCATAAACTGAAGCAAAAAAAGTATTAAAACTATGTTCCTACATGCCCTTTCTTAGCATATCACACTATCCTTCATGCTTTATTCTTGGTGCCAGCTGGATTGTATGTTTCAGTAGAGTCTTGCACAGAGCTGGCTACTTTGAACTTCTGCCTTTAGTTACAATCTAGAAGTATTTGCTCTGTGAAAATACTGCAAAGTGTTAATGTTTTAGAAATTGATTTCTGATGTCAACACCCCAACTATAATTGCATTATTTCCGACCTTTAGTGACAATGTGAACAATCAATTTCATGAGTCTATAAAGTAAACCCCCCCCAAACACAAAATAATCCTAATAACAGTGTTTTACTCTTCTATTCTGCCACCTTTTTTTGCATGAAAACTAAAGCATGGTGTGATTGGGGTAAATGGCAAGCAATGTTTATGCCAGCTCAGACACCATATCAGGATTTCATATAAAAGCAAAAGCTGATTTTAAAATTCATGAGTGGTTGTTAGCAGTGTTTCACACATGGGTATGGAATTTTAAATGGTCATTTAAAACCATAAAGCTAATTAATCAATCTGTTACAAAACAGGAATAGTTTACTCTGGATTTTCTAATACCACTGAGATGGCATTCCTTTCTGACAGACTATATAAAGAGAATAAATTTTAATAAGACTTTGAATGATGGCTGGGGCTAACTTCTTCCTAAAGATGCTTTTAGCATCCACATTGCCTAGATGAGCACGGATTTTTATCCTGCTGGAAAGTTAGCTTTTAATCCAAGATGATGCCTTCAAAGTCAAAAGCTAACACATGTAACCGTCCACACAAACATGAATCCAGACTCTGCCAGAATCCACTTTAGAGGTATCCATGTTTCACGATGGTTAAATGTTTGTGGGACAGGCAAAGGCCTTAACGGACTGGAGTTTTAAACTTTCTGACTTGTCAAGTTGTTATACTGTGAAATGACACTCAGGTTCTGCCTCCGTCTGACCATCTTTGTTGTGGAAGTAACTGGCACACTCGGAGTCAGACTCTCAGACCAAAAGGGGTTTTCAGTCAGGTATTAACACCTTTTGGCCAAACTGTAAACTATGTCTCTCCCTCTTCAAATCACTTCCAGGCAAGCTTGTCTTCAGAAGATGGGGCATTTTGCAGCCCTGATGGCTTGAGCACATGCTTGACACCACAGCCTGATACGACGAACGGAACTCTAAATCTTCAAGGGATCAAACAGTACCAGCATGCTTACTGCCCTGATCATTCACAGCTTGATTTACAGACCACTTGTAGTCACCGACAGAGAGCAGAGAATGAACTGTGAGCTTCTAGATGATGCTCAGCATTGCGATGAAATTTTTATAGCCCAATTGCCTTTTGTTTGAAAACTAATTTTAAATGTGATTTTTCATGCAATTGTTTCTTAATGTGCAGTAGTAATTAATATGCTTGAAGTTGCCTAAGATTTTCCTAACATGGTAGGTAAGTGAGACCCAACTGCAATTCATAGGACAGGCTGATTTACTTCCTCAGGTACCCATTCACACACACACACAAATATTTCTCATTTGTAATTCAGAGGATCTCTGAGGTTACGATAAAAACTTCTGCCCTTTCCTCCTGGCGCCAGCCAATTCTACCCAATGTTTGGAAGGATTCATGAACTCTGAGCAGACCCTGCATTTCAGTTTAAAGGCACAGAGGAAGGCCTCGTTATTTGCAGACGTTAAGGAGGGAGCAATGTGAATGAGGAGCTTTCTGCTTTCATCTCCCTCTCACTTTTGATGTCCTGACACAACAGCCCACTGGGAAGGTGACATGGAGGGAGAGATATGCCAAACTCGTAGAAGGCTAGAATTTCCTTCCTCAGAGCAACCTCTACAAACTAAAATAGCAATAAGCCATTTGCCAGCCTGCAAGCTATGATCTCTATGAAATGGCAGTGCCCAAGTCTCCAAATCATTTCCATGCAAACACCTGCAATGCTGGCAAACATGCGCATGTGATAAAAATCTGCAGTACGTTTAGTACATGCAGCTTACTATGGATCTCCTCCCTTACTTGTCTGCGATCTTCTCTTGCTCTCCAGTTCCTCCAGGAGTTCAGATTATTCTGTGTTTTTCCCATCCTTTTCCGTGCACATAGTGCTTTATTTCTCCTTCCCTCTCTCACATACCCTTTTACCCCTGCACTCTCATTCTACCCCACCTTCTTTTCCCCTTTTCTCTGCCCCACAAACCTGGCTTCTTTAAATTTCGGATCCTTTGAAGATCTCTCATTTTATTCTTCCCACTAAGCCAAATGATAACCTCCTCTCCCCGATAAGATCTTTCCTTTTTCCTACCTACACATAGCTGGGATTGCTCACCCTTTTACTGTGCGCAGTCCCTGAAAGCTGTTCAGGAGAGGAGGACAAGGACCACTCTTCTCTCTTTCCAGAACAGACAGTTTCTTCGTACATCGTGCTCTCCCTTGAGAGGAGCTTCTCAAGAGGCATTTCTCTGGCAGGGTCACAAAGCAGGCTGACAATAGCTTTCCTCAGCTGCACAGGAAATGCTTTGATGGTAATTGACTCTCTTCCCCAGGCAGAGTATCAAAGCGCAAATCCAGGCTTCCCCTGGAATTTGGATTTGGCTGCGTGAGCTATAACAATAGCGGTGATGCTAGACAGGCTTGATAATGGCTTCTATTTTAACTTCTGCCTTTATTTTTTAGAGCTGCCTGTCACTTGGCATTACTACCATGCTTGCTGACCAGCAATATGTTTGTTTTCTTGTACTCTCTGCTTTTGTACGGTTGTATTACTCTACGGATTCCTCTAATACCTTCACTGCAAGCTCTGTGGGGCAGGATGATTCCCGCCCTATTTGCAAGCCCAGTACAGTAGGGGCCACGGCCCCTTCAGTGCTGTGTTAGTACACAGCATCAAAACCTCGGGTCCGGTCACAGAACAAGGAAGACAGTATTGGCAGGAAATGAGACCTTTCCTTGCTCCCCGGAGCCTGCCTACTGCCTTGCATCAGATAGAGCAAAGCAGCAAAACGGGCAGGATGTGTGCAAGGAAGGAGTTGAAACAGTGCCCAAGTGAATGGAAAGTATCCAGATGGCTGTGGTAACTCACACGATGGGAGTCAAATCAAAACAAAATGAAAACAAAACCATATGCCATCTACCCTTCGCTCTCTTGCTCTCTTTCTCTCTCTGCCTTTCTCCTGGCTGTTGCCCCAGGTCTTTCTATCAGTACGGATAATAGTATGTTACTCAATTATGTGTATGTCATGAATAACAATAACCCCTCTTTTACATTAGAGATCATGGATTACTATTATTCATGTAACAAAGAATGTAGTATGAACCACAAAATTATACTCATGTAAGGGTCAAGGAAGCGTAAGGGTCTACAAGGGAAGTTATATTTCTTCATTAAATCCTTCTTTTTATCTGGTATGCTGTATACTTATAAAAGAGAATATTAACTTTACACGTCTATGTTGCTATATGCTATAGAAATATCTACTCACAACCTGCTTGTATCTCAGGGGGAGTATTCAAAAGCATCATGGCAGTGGCAGCATCAATGTCAGGATCTGGAAAAATCAACCAATAAATACATTATTTACAACTGGGCTAATCTTCTTGCCCCCGTTGCTAAACTATAGGTTCAACCAAATCTCTGCAGTGAAAAGGTATAAGAGTTCATTATTCAGAGGGCTCGTTGATCACACATTGAATTTACCCCCAAACTTGCATGTAATCCCATTGATACTATTAAGTAGAGCGCAGCGATGAACGTCACCAAACCGTACTCGTGTGTGCATGATTCCTTCGCTGTTACCCTCATGAATTCACTATTTAGTTCTGTGGAGAGTATTTAGATTTTCTTACAAAGGATCTGTGAAAGCAGATGCAACACCACAATTTGGAAGCAACACACAGGGATGAGCTGACAGTAGAGTGGGAAAGCGTAAGGAACAGCTACACCTGAGCAAGTACAGATGACACTCAGTCATTTCGATTTGTCGGTAAGGATTTCAGCGGTGTTTGAGAAAGTGTTGGAAGCCAAACTGCTACAATTAAGGGGGGGGGGGGAAACTAGCATTTCATTGAAGCATCAACTTATTTGCATCCTCATCCATTGTCACTTTAATATAAGCAAAAATCATCGGCCGGCTGCTGTTATTCTTAAATTGGTTTCTGAATCCATCACGAACAGTCAGTTGACAGATGGTAAGTTATAGAGACAGAACAAGATATGATCCTTTTATAACTATATTCACTTGCTTCACACACAGCAGCTCGGCTGCTATGGAAATGTAGGTAGCTATGACAACAGTAAACAACCCCAGAACGGCCACTGAATAAGCTGAAAAGAACATCTGCCCCAGCAAAGCGTCCCAGCTGCCCTGGGGCGCAACTTGCTAATCGTGCAGTGATGCCGCGTGACAGAGAAAGCCGCCTATGCCATGTCCAAATAAATGAAGTGTGCAATTGAAGCAGACATAAAAACACACACCCTGGCCGACTGCTGCCTCTGCGCTGCTAAACTGAATGACTAATGAGTATGCATTTGTTGTTTCGTTTTTTTTTTATTTTTCCAGCTTGTCAGTATTTATACTAAATTACATACCAAAAAATTCAATTTACTGCTAATAGCTTCATGGCACTTTATTTTGGCTATTATGTTAGAAAATTACTTTTCACTGTTAAAAATATATGTATATTGTACCTTTATATATTTCAAATCTATTGCCAGTAATGTGATGTGGTATAAAGTCCTGCAATTTATTAACAGTACAAATGACGCAGAGAGGATTTCAGTATCTGTTTAAGCAAAACAGAAATTCACTTGACCGATTAAGGAAAAAAAAGGGGGTTTTTATTAGTTTAAGTATGTACTATTTTTCCGTGAATAGCTGGAAACACACTTCTAATGGCTACTCTCTTATTTAATTGCTGAAACAGTAAACAGAGCAACAGTGTAGCAGGGGTAAAACTAAAATTGAAGCAGCAGCAGACTAAATTAGTGTAAAAGGTGCCCACATACTAGAAAGCAGGTGCCCATCTGTCTCCTGCACAGGTCGGCACATCCTTTTCAAAAGTCACCAGCAGACTCCTCAGAAAAGCAGCTTTACCAACTTATGTTCATCTTCAAGTCTGAAGATACAGCCAAAGCAATATTCCCGCTGCGAGCATCTATGCTAAAAGTGCCATTTCCAAACAGCTTCACTCCTGAACACGTGCCATGTTGCAGGACTGGGTCCATACAGCACACAGCCCACATAGCAAGTTTCTCTTTAGTCAAACTGAAGAGGGATAATCTATCTAACATTAAAAAGCAAGACAAAAAGCAAAGAAGCCTGAGAAATAAAGCCAAACCAAACCAGAATTCTCCCATCTCTTTCATACCATAAAATCAGAAGATTGTTAGAAGTTGAATTTACTGTATCATAATTCATACAGCCAACTTCAGCATTTGTTTATCAGCTGTTCCTAAATTTTGTTTTCTTGTTTTACTTTAAATAAGGTCCCACCACTGGGTAACATTGTAGCATAACGTTAATTTTGCTATTGAAAGAACAAAAGGACACAACCAGAAAAAACACATTTCCTGCTGACTTCGGGTTTTGTCTGTGTAACAAACTCTGTGCTTTGAGATAAAATTGATGCAATCAGTTTATCTTGAAAGGTGCGTTCTTAGCCTTCGGACCACTAATGGTACCACCGTGTTTCTGTAATGACTTCACAACACTAACGAGCTGTTTACAACACACAACTGCATCCACAGCAGCTGTTTTCCAAAGCACAACCATGATTCAAGCACATCCACACCTGCTATGGCATCTAGCTCTGTTCCCATTGGTATATTCTTGAAGGAACCAGACAGCTATTCCATAATGCCTTGGCAGAGGTAAGAGGGCTTGGAGACACGCACCCAGGGTGGTGTCAGTAGGATCGAGGACACTGTGCTTTGGGTTGTCCTTCTGCAGAGAGGAAAAAAAAAAAAAAGGAGGGACTGGCTGCATAAGGAAGTCAAGGGCTGAGGGCCAGCAGTCAGAGACCACACAAAAAGGCGCAGAAGCAACATCCGAGGGCAAACTGAAAGGCCAGTTCATTCTTGCGCAGCGTTTACGCTCGCAATTTGCAAGTGTTCTCCTGAGAAGGACATCAAGAAGAGCCAAAAAGTAGTCACGAGGAGCAGCACTGAAGCCAGGCAAATGAAGGGCGTCTTTCCTTGGACTGGCATTTCCTCCGTAGACTCCTGGTACCCACCAGTGCCCCCACGCCGACTGCCCTTTCCCCACAGTTGGCGCCTTGGTGAAGTCTCTTCCACGCGGATCCTCTCATTTGTAGCAGTAAGGGCTGACCTCGCATGGCAGCCCGACCAGCCTGGTAACTGGATCCTCTCCCTTCTACCCGCCTGTCTGCATTTGTGAAGCTGTGGATTTCATTACTGAGATCTCTGCCCTACCTGAAGTCTGCGATCAACACAAAGGCTCCTGAATTTATTAACAGTGGGTGGTTAGTGAAAAATGATTGCAGGAACATCTTTCCCTAGGAAACCAGGTTAAAAATAACTACATACAAAGTTTTGGAATTTAGAAAATTAAGTATTTAAATTAATGCATTCTGGTTTCTTTTTGATAATTAAAGTGGTGGCTTGACTGCATACACAAACTGTATGTTCATTTTTTGCTAGTGGAAAGCAGAAGATGCCCAACTTTCCCAGTGAAAGAGGAAAGTAAGGAACAACAAAGAAGAGGAAGGATTGTGGGTGTTGTACGAAGAAGGAAGAGTACGTCAAAGTCTCAAACAGGCAACATCGGAGAGTGACAAAAAAATAGCGGCAAAAATTGCCAGCAGCCACAGCTCTCCCTAACAGATGACTGCCGTCTATATACTCAGTGCTTCATGCTACAATCTGAAGTTTCAGTGCTTGGTCCCTCATCCACCAAGTGTCCTTCACAGGGTTATCAGAACGGACCTGGAAGAAACCTTAAGCACTTACACAAACTCAGAAGGCATGAAAGCATACATCCCAACGCAGTTCAAAGCCAACAAGGGGCAGGAACCCCACCACTGCTGCAGAACCTCCCCTTGCAGTGGGAGCCTACTGTTATTTTTGCCAGCATTGCTTTCAAAGACAAAAGTTCTTTTGATGAAGACAGTATCAACAAAGGGTAAGTCACAAACCTCATGGCAGGTCTGTTGGCTGCATTTTAGATTCAAACCCCTCTTCAGCTAAGTGTGCCAAAGTGACCACCAAATCGCTGAACAGCATCTAGTTCTTTCACTGAGGAACTAACCTACAAATTATCACTCTGTGGAATTACTATCTAGTCCATAATGTCAAGACGTGCTTTGAGCCAAACTTCACTCTGCACATTACCTGTATAGATCAGAATCTGTCCTGCACAGGCATGTGAAGTGGCGAAATAGTAGGCATGAAATATTTTGGCACGAGATTACACACAAATGTTCAGCAATGCAGAGGATAACCCTCAGGTAGCAGGCTGTTTACTCTAGAATTGACAAAAAATAATTAAAACCGAACAGGGTACCTGAGAAAGCCGGATGTGACAGCTGTCCTTTTATTATGTTTGTGATCTCTGATCAGAGTTCATTTCATAGAGAGAGGAAGTGTTTTATAGTAATTCATATTATTTTGATATTTTTATTTCAAACTTTGATCTAATTTCACTGAATGCTTCAAGTCCATCCCCTTCCAACTAAATCATAATAAAAATTAGGATAACACGGTCCCTCTTGATTTTGCTAGAGGGTATTTATTTTTATAGCCATACTATGAGGTTTTAAAGGAAATAGCAGTTGAAGCAGTTCAAAGCAACCATGGCCTGAATTTTCCAGCACAGATGCCTAGAGAGGCACTTAAGATGCATATTTAGGTACTACTAAAATGTTACCGCCAACTGACGTAAAAAATATAGTTAGTAAATAAACCGCACCATCTGTACACTACAACCATTGCCATGTTATCTCATCAGGAAGGAATTTATAAGATCTTCTTTTAATTTAAAGTTACTACCTCTAAAATAGAACTATTTTTGTAAAGAATTTCACTTCACCATTCAGTATGCTAGCTTTTGGCCCCTTCTGCTTCTGCCTCAGCACCCTCCACTGCTTTTTTCCATTCAAATGCTCTACTCTAGCTGGAATGCATAAAACTTGGAATGCCACTGTACTCAGAAGATAAAAGTCCAGTTTATTCCTTTTCTACAAGATCAGTCTTTTTATTCCCTGCTTCAATTCCTAGCACAGCTCATTCCTACATGTTTTTTGTGATCTGATTCTTTGATATTTTCAATTTTCAGCAGCAGGAAAATGTTGCAGAAGCAACACTGTCTTCCACCTTTTACCTTCAGGCTTATTAAACTGCAACAGAGCAAATAGCAGCTTGCCCCTATATAACTTGTCTGCTAATAGATGTGCCTTTTGCCTTCCCACAACATGATGGTTAACCTTGGTATGAGTCAGGTTAGGTCAAAGACATAAAGAATAATTAATAGAGTTAAGACTTTTTTCCCCGTTTTTTTTTTTCTTTTCCTATTTTTAATGTATTTTGCCTGAT